CGGCTAATGCATAGGCGGTCTGCTAGGTATTCAGTAAAGCGGCTAATGCATAGGAGTTGAACCTTTTGTTAAAACACCTTCAAATGCTTGGACCTATCGCCTTTCCGTGCTTTCGCCTTTCTTCCACTTGGGAACTGAGTTAACTGAAAACCAATGTCAGAGTGTGTCTGGCAGGTTTGAAACATGATGAGTGGGGGAGGGTTGAATCAGCAGCATCGAGGAACATCTGATCAATTTGAACAACAACTGATCTCCTACGCAGCAACAAATCTAGTTACATCTAGTTACACTGTTTTTGTTAAGGGCATGTTCTCCTCCAGTTTCTTGTCTTGCCTTAGAGGTAGCATGACCGTTTCGCGTGAAGTGATGAGATTATTCCTAAAAATACAAAGAAATACTGCATTCACACCTCCAATCCACAAATCAGGTGGATCGACTCCAGAATCCACCCATCTCAGGATCCTCTGCCAGACCTTCAAAGGCTGCTTGGAAAAGATCTTCACCAACCTCGGTGGACTGGCTGCATGGGTCCTTCCAAAACGGGATGATGACCGTGGATCCTGTTTTTCGTGTGTGACCGTGGCCACCAAAACAATTATATATCGATAATTACACGTATACATATATATATATTAATATATATTATAGAGGATTATAGAGGTATAATATATAACATGGATACCCTTGCTTGGATCTTTTTGGGGAGCTCATGACCTGGCAAAATCAAACAAGATTCATGAGGATTACGACGTCATTCCAGCTGGGACGAGACGTCTCTGATCGCGGTCTGCACCAGTCATGATCCCTACCGCCCAAACCTCTTCCTTCACTTCAATCCAGGAAGGCCAAAATGTGACATCTGCGGTTGACGCACACCCTCTATGTATATATATACATATATGTCACATAATTAAGTCTAATGATGTCAGAAACACTATGATGGCGAATTTGACTGTATTGAAGTGTTTCATCCATCACCACATGCCACTTCATCCCAATCACCATCTGGGGCAGTTCGCGGCATTTGCGGATGCTCGAGCGGCCTGCGGCCAGCGCTTGCAGAAGGTTTTCCCAGACATCGATGTTTAGTATACAGTGTGCGGCCATTCAGTCACCAAGTGGGGTGGTGATCTACGTGACAAAGTTTGTGGCTTTGCTGGCTCAAGCAAATTATAAAGAGTACTTTTGAATCATGAAGTGTCTGTCTGGGCCGCTTTTCAAACAGCTGGCCCGTTGATCGCACCAGTGTCCCCCCAGCTGGAGGTACTTTTCTATAATGATGTGAGTTGGAAACGGAAATGAACCTGAGACAATTTTATGAAACGATCTGGTATGACTATGACATCACTTCCACCTTCTGATTCGACCTTGTCTTCAAGCTCCATCCTTGATTCCAGAGTTCTCATCTATTCCAGCCCAAATCCGCTGCTTAGAATGATGTCCTTTCCGCATGTCTGTGGTAAACAAAGCGCAAATACCCTCTATGCTCTGCTGAATCTGAACGCTTTCAAGCTCCCATCTCGACTGTTCCAGCTACGCACTTCTGCAGCGCTGGGCAAGCATCCTGTACAAAGAGACTCGCGACGCCAATTCATTGGGCAGCTCCCAAAGGCCATGTCAACCTATCAGGTCCACCTTTCCGTCTGTTCAATCTGAGTTCAAGGAGGTGACTCTTTCTGTCTGCAAATGTCACTCTTGCACGACTTTCTGGAGGTGATTGTTCCACAGGTGCAGAACTGGCTGCCTCATCCTCTTCTTCCTTATGTCCTTCTTCCTCACGGATCCTTCCTGCTCGGGCTTCCGTGCCGAACTTCTCTTTAAACACTGAGCTTGTAGGGCTCACTTTGTCGTGCCGATCACCCTGCAAGCCATCAGATAAAACCTCTGCCGTGTTGAGGCGGCGTCGACGCAAACCCCAAGAGGAGGAAGACCACACGTTTTATCAAATGTATCAGTTCTCACAGGAGTGCGTTAAGTACCTACTTTCCTATAGTGTTATTGGGAAAGGCCTTCCACTCATACTGTTTTGTCGAAACGGAGTCCTTAAACATCCATATCTACACAAGCGCCACCTGGACATGAGCACCACCTGGATATTTTGTCAAGTCATGTTCCATGAACGTTTGCCTGTCTTCCAGTGTTGTTCTTCTGGGTTGTCATATGAGTCTCATATGAATGTACAAACAGTGTTTGGATGCTTTTGGGCCTTTTCTAAGTGGGATATCATTCCGATCCCCTAATCTGGAATACTTAATCAACAAAATTTCATTGTGCCACGTATGGACTTACATGCATGTATCAGGAGATGTGTTTGGCAAGCTACTGCCACTGTGTTCTGAGTTCTAGAGTTTTTGGAGTGGATGCTGCATGTCAAGCACCTTCTACCCATCCAAGCAACCTGTTGGAGGAGCATCCTGTAGCAATACTTTCTCAGCTCTTCTTGAGTCTTTCCCAAAGTGTTGACGGTTCCCTGCTTGAGTCACTCTGCTTGTTCATCAAATAAGCGCATAACACAGCAAAAACCATTGCTGCAGCAAAAACATCCATGTCAGTACTTCGTCGATCTGCAGGATTGTCTAGACGGTCTAAATCTTCCAAAGATTGTTCAAGCCGACGTCTGTGTCTATAAGTGGTCATGAACAACGATATGAACGACATAGCAACAACAAATAAGCCTGAGTGTTCCAAATACTTCTCACGTAGACTTGCAAATGTCACTCTTGCACGACTTTCTGGAGGTGATTGTTCCACAGGTGCAGAACTGGCTGCCCCCTCATCCTCTTCTTCCTTATGTCCTTCTTCCTCACAGATAATTCCTCCTCGGGCTTCCGTGCCGAACTTCTCTTTAAACACTGAGCTTGTAGGGCTCACTTTGTCGTGCCGATCACCCTGCAAGCCATCAGATAAAACCTCTGCCGTGTTGAGGCGGCGTCGACGCAAACCCCAAGAGGAGGAAGACCACACGTTTTATCAAATGTATCAGTTCTCACAGGAGTGCGTTAAGTACCTACTTTCCTATAGTGTTATTGGGAAAGGCCGTTCCACTCGTACTGTTTTGTCGAAACGGAGTGCTTAAAAATCCATATCTACACAAGCGCCACCTGGACATGAGCACCACCTGGATATTTTGTCAAGTCATGTTCCATGAACGTTTGCCTGTCTTCCAGTGTTGTTCTTCTGGGTTGTCATATGAGTCTCATATGAATGAACAAACAGTGTTTGGATGCTTTTGGACCTTTTCTAAGTGGGATATCATTCCGATCCCCTAATCTGGAATACTTGATCAACAAAATTTCATTGTGCCACGTATGGACTTACATGCATGTATCAGGAGATGTGTTTGGCAAGCTACTGCCACTGTGTTCTGAGTTCTAGAGTTTTAGGAGTGGATGCTGCATGTCAAGCACCTTCTACCCATCCAAGCAACCTGTTGGAGGAACATCCTCAGCTCTTCTTGATCTTTAAACACTGAGCTTGTTGGGCTCACTTTGTCGTGCCGATCACCCTGCAAGCCATCAGATAAAACCTCTGCCGTGTTGCGGTGGCGTCGACGCAAACCCCAAGAGGAGGAAGACCTCACGTTTTATCAAATGTATCAGTTCTCACAGGAGTGCGTTAAGTACCTACTTTGCTATAGTGTATTGGACAGGCCTTTCCACTCATTCTGTTTTGTCGAAACGGATTGCTTAACGATCCATATCTACATGAGCATCAACTGGATATTTTGTCAAGTTAAACATTTGCTGGTCTTCCGGGATTCTTCTGGGATTCTGGGCTTAAGACCTATTGACATTGGACACGGTTCTCAGGAAATCCTCTGAGCCTACATCCACAGGCATGTATCTGAAATATGAGGTGAAATAGAAGTGTGACCAGAAACCTCAACCTTGCTTACGTATTGCTTCCGAATTGAGTTGTCCTGACCTGTGGGACAAAACCTTACGCAAGCGGCTTGGGCCGTGGATTGGAGTTTAATCGCATAATATGGATTATTTCATTGATGTATTGAATGCTGCTCAAGTGAGCAGTGTTTTGTTCCACGCATTTACATACTGTTGGATCGATGTCTGCCCTCAATCATCCAAACACCCACTAGCTTTGGTGCCTTCTGCAGTAGGCCCTTCAAAAGCTTCTCTGGCTGTGGGGACTCTTGTCGCAAGCACTCCTGGAGCACCTGCTGGAAATCAGCTCAAAAAGGAAAGAGGATCTTCAACAGTCTCCTCTGGATCTGGAAGTGGGACAAAACACAAACCTGAATTAGCATTCCCAACACCCTTCAGCTTCCTTCCCAAGGTAGCTATGATCAAATGTTGAATTACTTCTTCGGGTGGTGCAACGTGAAATCATGCAAAAGGGATCAAAACGGTATAAGGATCTGTGCGGCCTGTTGACTTCACTCCCCAACTTCGATGGCTTATACTCCGTCTCAGTGAGTGGTGACCCTGCTCAACTACCCCAATATAGCTATGTCTCCGCTTTGCAAATACCGCCTGCTGCAGTGCGCAGCAGTGGTGAGGGTCTGCAAACAACACCCCTGATACAGAGTAGAGCCATCAGAAAAATGCATGACAAAATCGAACGCAAGGGCAAGCCTACAGACTAGATTTGTTTGGAACATCAAACAAACACCTCGAGGGTTCGAGAACCAAGCATGCCCTGAACTCATCAGGCACCTTCTTGGCGCTGCACATCCTTAGATGTTGCAGGTTCCCTTCTGTATATGATTGTGCTACCCGGCCCTCCTGAATGAACAGCTTCGCCACACCCACCAGAACCCGAACAAACTTTCTTAACACTCCAACACTAGGGGATACTAGGGGTGTAATGGTTGACTGCTTTTCTGAGGGATGTCGTCACCGCCAAAATGACTCCTGTTCCAAGCAGCGACTGCACATCATCAGGAGATTCTTGAATAGTATGGATCAAGAATGCTGCCACTTGTAGGACTTGCCTGTCCTGCTCGTGCCTGTATCATCTGCATCAATAGTTGCATCCATATCAAACAAAGGGGGCAGCCTATACAAACAAAGTAATTACCTGGAATCCAGTCCTTGCTCTTCTACATCATGTTCCTCGTATTGAATGATAGGTGCTAAAACGACCAGCAGCATCTTTACGCTCACCACGCAAAACACCCTAAGGAGCTTTGATCCACTTCTTGCAGCAAACATGCAAGCAAAGCCGACGTGACATCAAACAAATGGTGGCTTGGCGTCAAAAGGAAATGGTGAAAGCGTTCCCCAAACCGTGTGGGATAATTTTAGGTCCACCTCACCTGGTAAACTTGGCAAACTTCTTTAAGAGATTCAATAGCTGTGGAGCCCTCCAGTTCAGAGTAGGCCAGTGGAGACTGGTCACGAAACAAAGGTCGGCATCTTCTTGAGTGTTGTACCTGAGTGAGACCAGAGCTGACATTTGCAGAGCCATGGGCTGATGCATTCTTCAGTCAATGATGATCTCTGAGCAATTACAACTCGTGTCCCTGGAGATCATTTGTGGATCTTCGCAGAACTCCGAAAACACACAGTTTACAAACTTACAAACTATTTACCGAAAACATGCTTGGGAACACCTTGCATGAAAACACAACCAGGTTCCGCAAGAAAATCCTCTGACCTTGGTTTATGTTGCCTTTGTTTCGAGGGTGCAGGTTACGTGACAGGGTTCAGCATTGTAGCCAGGTTTCAGCCAACGGTACAAATGCATAAAGGCAGTACGGTACAGAATTGTTGTATGTCCGAGCAGCCATTCATCATCTTTCAGATCTCGGCAGTTGTTCACCAATCTCAATTGCCAATCTTCTAACACATTCTTAGCCTGCTTCTGCAGAATTTGTTTTGCAATGTCCCGAAAGAAGGAGCCTCTCAGAAGAACAAATGTCCTCAGCAGAGTTGATCCCAACTTGCAGCGAAAATAAGCAACTGTGTAAAAGTTTGCCTGACGATTGCCCTGGGAACAAAGCCAGGAAGGTCACTGTCACAAAAATGCAGGAAACTTCCAGGACTGTACTACTTCTATGTTTGGTGGGAACAAAGCATTATACAGTGAAAACAAAAATCAACATGCGCTGCGTACTCTTCTATGAAAAGCTTCGGAATGTCTAGCTTGCTTCTCATCCCTTCCACCAAGCGCACACACTTCTGGAAGCCCAACACATCCAGTGGTAGAACTTCTTGAGGACTCTCGGCAAAGGCCCAGGTGATGCCAGCAGAACGCCGTTGATTGACAAAGGCTTCCAAGCACTGCTTCAGTGCATCTGCATCCAGCTTCACAGGTGAAACAAGGCCGATCCAGCAGCTGCCTTTCGCAAGATATATACGAAGACGAAGTTCGTTCAATTCCACTGTGCCTGCCCCATCAGGCCCAAGCAAGCTTGAATATATAAGCTAGAACACGCAACAAGCAACAAGTCAAAAAGTGTCAAGAGAGGAGAGAAAACACTGCAAGAATCTGAAAGACAACAGGACCTTGTGCCGACTATTCGGCCCTTGCAGGGATCGTCCACGTTTGAACTGAGAGGGGCAACCACACTAGTCAACGTCCGCCAAGATGCTGATACCCAATTTTTGTTGACATTCACTCTCCAGTATTTCTGGCAGCTCTTTCACATCAGCCGGACTTAAGTCCGACAATCCTTGGCTTCCAACACTTAAACTCCAGTATTGAAAGTTGAACAGTTACCAAACAATAAACAAACAACTATCATAATCATATATAATAGTATATATAATCATTATCAATAAGCAAAGCTCCAGGAATACGAAAATAGTACTGCAGGTCCTCTTTGACGCTCTCTTCAAGCTTGAATTGATCGAAATTGTGCTTTGTAAAATAGCATCCCAACATCTGCAGCACTTTGGTGAGCTGCTGAGAAGGAAATTCTCTGTGTTCGTCCTTCCACGCCCTCACGGCTGCTTCGATGATCTCGACGACCTTGTCTGGCAAATTTAGGACCACTCGCATGTCCTCACATCCTTGATTCGGATCAAGCGGTTCCCACTTCGCCATCCTATCACCAGAGCTACCTGAGGCAGTCTGGGAAAGCACATCTTTGATTTCAGACAGGTTGTCACAAGCCAACAAGTGGAGCTGTGCTCGAAGACTTTCGAAATGCTCTGCTTGTTGGTGAAAAACTCGAATGATTTCTGTTGCCATACCTCTGACCTCGAGATAGGAATCATAGGAGTCCGTAGGCTGGACGTCTATACCAGTGGAGCCTTCCTCTTGGCAATCAAAAAATTGCTCACTCTCTGACGATTTGGGATCCAAATCACTGGACTCAGAGGAGACATCCTCTTGAAAGTCAAAAATCTGCTCATGTGCCAATACATGTAAATGATACGCAACAAGCCTGGCTCTCCGCATGGCCGCAATCTGTTGACGTCGGTACTTGAAACTGTGTGGAACGACCGTGCGCCGAGTCTCAAGGACCAAACCCCGAGTGTGACCAACCAAGGTGATGGGCTGTGGACGAAGGTCTCCAAAGGTTACACACTCATATTGAGTGTCCAAGGAATCCTGAAATCCTCTGAGATTTCCTGGCTGGCACTCCAGGTTGTAGCAAAAAACCTTTGCAAAGATCGAAGAGTCCAACATGCTCTTTCCAACAGCGCATGCATACATAAAGGCATAGCAGTTCTTGTCATTTGACGGCAAATCGCCTCTCAATGTCGGCACACGCATCCCGACATCCCATCCTCCTTGATGCTTCATCTTGGATCGGCATGCAGAGACCACGCACCAAAATGTCAAGTTCTTTCGTGGCTCAACGAGACCAAACAATGTAAACAAAGTCACCTGCTGAGCTCACCTCATCACCCTTTGGCACTATCAAAGTCCAGCCTCTTGCCTCATTCCCCTCTTCAGACTTGCCGTAGCCATGCCCTGAATACCACAGTAGCACTTGATCAAATTCTGCCAGCTGTGTGACCAAGTCTTTCAAGGCTTTCTCGATCTCGGCACCGGTCTTGTCAAAAAGCCTCACCACCCGCTCTTCCCGGCACAGGCCGCAGCGCACGGCAGCTTGAGCCACCAGCTCTGCATCTTGCTGTGCAAAGCAGAGGTCGTGGCTGTTCACCAGGAGCACAAGATACCTGATCACCCAGAACAAACGAGAACCCAATTATATATATATATTTATTTATGAACAAACCAGATCTCAGGCCCTGATGATCTAGCCTGAGAGTTCATGGAATAACTCCTCCATCCTTGAAGGTTGTCTGAACACCCTGCTCGGGAACTAGAGAGTTTGTTAGTAGAGTTGTCCACTGGCGGCTTCAGGATAAACTTATCCCTTCACAAAAGAAACACGAAGATACTGTCAACTTTGCAGTTACACATATAAGCACAGCGAGATTGTAGCTCAATACTAGATTGGAGCTCAATACTAGATTGTAGCTCAATACTAGATTGTAGCTCAATAGATTTTGTCTACTGTCAACTTTGCAGTTGCATCTTCACAATCTATAGCACAATAGCTGAAATTGTGGCTCTGGCAGAGCTGGGCTTTTGATTGGCTTTCCCAAGTTTTGCTCTGCCAGTTTGGGTAGCTACGGGTCTCATGTCCAACGCAGAAGCATCGTTGTGTGTGTGTCTGTGTTACCTATTCCATTGAACAGTGCATTCTACATTAATATCCTGTGGGGGGACACAGCAGTTTGTTTCTTACATAAATTGCTGTGCAGCCAACAACACAAGACTCCGAAACTTGAGCACAACGCACAGGAATACTGAATACTCACAGGAATGCTTCGACCACAACTCTCAAGTCAATAACCAGCTTTGATTCAGGCATTGGACATCAAAGACATAAGAGTAGCTATGCCGGACAAGAGGAACTCACAGATTTTCACCTCGCAAAGTTGCAGTATGTTGCAGTGTGTCACACGCACTGACACACACACAAAGGACTTGTCACTTGCTGTTACTTGCCTCAGGTCCATGAAGAAGAAATGGAATTCAGACCCTTCCAGCAAGTCGATGTTCCGGTCACCCTCCCCACCATCCCTCCCATGGAACTCCTGGTCCAACGGTCCAACGCCCGCCAAGATGCCAGGTTCCTTCGTCCCCAGTGGCCATGAGGCAAATGAAAAGCGATGTGCGGAGTATTGTGGAGTGAAACCCAACGAACGAGTCGTGGACTCTCGGAGAGTGATGCTTTTTAGATGCTTTTGTGGAAGATTTGGAGCAGAACACAAGATAACACGGTGGAACAGGAACATAATATATTCCAGCGAGATGAACAAAAAGAAGCCCCATAAGCCATAGGGCCTGCAGAACTTGCTGAGCTACTAAGTATCCTAAGTTTGAGTGACTGCTCTAAACAATCTCAGCTTGCACGGTGAAATCCTTGTGAACGACTTCATCAAATAGTATCCGAACGTAACTGAACTCTGAACCTTTGCATCCAAACCTATGGAGTCCCGACACAAGCATCCGATCTCTGCTTTGCATAAGCTTCACATCACATTAAGCAGCCAAGTCAACAACATTGAGCCAAGAAGATCAATTGGAATCAGTCAGCAAAGACATGCAAAGACCAATTGCGTCTGAATTAGATGCCTCCAGTGGGCCTCCAGGTCGACAATTGGTTCCAAAACACTTGATCTATTTATGTTTCAACTAGCCCTGAAGCTGCAAACCTCCAGGCGACTGGCCGGCCTTTGGGTGGTTCACACCCAGGTGACTCAGGCGCTTTCGGACGAAGGACGCACCGTGGATGGAGCAAATGGATGGACGAAAGAAAGAGTGTTAGAGCTCTTGAATTGCAAAATGTACTTGGATGGAGTACTTGGAGTACTCTTGTCAATAGAGATCTTTAATCCAAATGTGAAAGAGTACTTGGATGTACTTGGTGTGCCCTGCGCTGCATGAAGACAATTGGTTGGTCGTCGTCCATGTCAGATGTGTCAAACATTGGAATCCTGTAGTTTCATTCTCAGGAGAGCAACAAGCTGCCTGGCACAAACGATCTTGTTTGGTGAAAGTGATGCTGTTTGTGTTCATAGATACTGGATATAGACACCCAAAATAGCAAGGACATTCCTCATAGCTCCACGCAGGGCTTGAGCGAGTGCGGATCGACCATGCGGACAAATGATGTTCATGTTGAACGGATCTATAGACGATGCAACTGCGGGCACCCCGAACAAATTCAGAATCCCCAAAAGCGGCAATGCTTAAACCCCTCCTGGTAAAGGAACATGTAACATGACCTGAACAATATGACTGTTTTGTAATGACAACCTCCGATTAATAAACCCCCCCCACATGGTAGGTCAACAAGGTCAAGAAGGTCTGAGATACCACTCATGAGGTCCATCTCCCCTGAATTATCGGCTCAGGGAGCCATCGTAGTCGCAGTCGTCGTCGGTAGTAGGTAGTAGGTAGTAGTAGTCACAACAAGTTTAAACAAGCACAAAGAAAAGGCCAGGGACACAGGATCAAATTAATAGGGGGTAATAGTGCAGATTATTGATGGGGGACCGGCCCTTGTGAGGGGTACCCTTTGTGAGCTTGTCAAATGATTGTTTTTAATTGTTTTTTAATAAGGCAATTTATAGGCCCTGAGCCCTAGACATTTTTAAGGATTTCATCAAACATGTAGTAGGTAGTAGGTGGTGATGGTGGTGGTGGTGGTCGTGGTAGTAGCACGTAGCAGCAGCAGCAGCAGCAGCAGCAGCAGCAGCAGCAATAGCTAGCACTAGCTAGCACTAGTAGCAGTAGCGGTAGCAGTAGCAGTAGCAGCAGCAGCAGGAGCAGGAGCAGTAGCAGTAGTAGTAGTAGAAATACGAAAAATTGACCTGGTTGTGGGCTCGGATTAACTGGGGGGGGGTTTCTGATGCCCAACTAGAAAATTAGGGGGGGAAATAGGCACGAATAATACTTTTAATTTGGGCAATTTTTGGTGGGCTTGTGTCTTCGGATTAACTAGGGGAGGTTTATTAATCGTAACTTTGCACATTACGCGGCAGTCGAGCCAGCTTGTAGGACTGTCTTGACCTTGCTGAGGCTTTCAACAAAGCATGATAAAACAGCGCAACAACTGCTTGGGGGTCAACTTTTGGCTTTACGGCTGTCTCTGAGAGTTCCGCCCGATTGGTGACCATAACTAATGTGTCTGTTGCCGCAAAGCTTGACAACTGCAATCACTTTTGCAACTCGCCCAATCAATCAGGGTGGTCCCCAGCTGGAAGGCACCCCAGCTTGTTTAACATAAAACTCCAAAGTATACCACGTCAAACTAGTGGAAGTTGACATCAATCTCCACATCCAATATACCCTGGTCATCTGCGTTATTCTCGCCAAATGGGGGCCACCCTGGTCAATCATCCTTCTTCTCTTCAGCATTTTTGGGCGCCTGGCACCGCTGCTAGGGGCGAGGGACAACAACTAGCCTGCAGGCTTACAGGCACCTTCCAACATTGATGTAAACATGTAAGGCCCATAAATGGAAGACCATGGCAATAGCTGGGGCCAGGGATGTTCTTTCCAGCCTCCATTTCGGTTAATACAGATGGTTCATGATGTCCAATTTGCAAAGGTGTTGGTCTCTTCTGGGAACAAAGACACGGCCCGCAGCTTGAAAGGGAGTTAGACGAGAACCTCCTGCGAGGAATGCAAAGACTGGTAGCCCTTGCTTCAACATCGACAGAATGGAGCAAACTTTGGTGGTTCCAACACAATTCATGATGTCCAATGCATGTTCCAAGTTCCAAACGAAAAAATACAAAAAACTCAATTCCAGGAATGTCTTCTACCCTGAGTCCCTGAGTATAGGTGCTGTTCATAGCCTGCAGGTCCCCCACAAACAACACCCCGCACTGCTGCCCCAGCCTCAGTCTGGACTGCCACGACCTTTCTCCTGACTTGGTTTGATCTTAACATGGCGAGTCTCCCTCACACTTAGGCAGCTAAGGGATGGCCGGTTGACTTTTATCTTCCAGGCATGGAATGGATGATCAATGTGTTTGCAAGACTTCACACCTATGGCAGCATGGCATTATATATGTGCCATATGTGCCTCGGAACGGACCCCCACTTGTTGGCCTTGATGGCAGGAAATCCTTACTGCCAGGAGGTGCCCAGGCTCCTGAAGCTCTTCTGGCTCTTCTGCGTCTCCTTTTCTCGCTTCCTCACTGGATCCAAGTCTCACCAGTCGGACCCGAACGGTCGTCTCAAGGGCCGGTCTCAAACTGCTTAAGGTGAAGAACGTGGAAGAACCTAGCCTTGTTTGGGGCCTGGCTTGGAAGCTGCCACGTCAAAAGAAGTATCCCGAGATCATGAACAAGAGTGGCATCAACGGAACCTCTAGAACCATCTCTAAGGGTGAGCTGAGCATCTTGCCCCTGCCTTCCTGAAGAGACATTAGTCTAGTTATAGTTGTTGACAGCCACACAAGGTTAGGGAAAAAAACTCCTGAATCAGGTTTTTGTGAATTTGTATGTCCCGACAAAATGACGATCTAAAACGAAGAGAACGGCAAAGAACTGGTTCTGGACCCGAAATCACGCGACTTCACTATAGTCATTAATGCTCTGCTCCATGGGATGGACGTCACGATCAAAACAGCTGGCTTCAAACGGTCGATGTCTCTGACGTTTTTGTCGGTCCATCTGCCCGTCCAAGACGCTTTTCCACCATGCTCTGCTTCTGCTCATGGACCACCAGCCTCATCAAAAGCACCGTAAATGGCTTGCGGGGCTATGAGTGGAAGCCAAACAAAGTGTCCAATGCTGTCGACCCCAAAAGAAGCAGCAAAAAAGGTCAATGTTGTGAGCCCTTGGTTCAAACCCTCCAGTACATGATCCTGTCTCAGGCATTCTGGTGCACAGAACCGACTGGTGAAAAGGGGAATCCCCTGTGACCACTGGGATGCTTCCCCCTTGACCAAGGGGTCTTCACTGGATCCACAATTTGATTTCTTTAATTGGAACCGTGCTATCCAACAGAACCTCACAGCCACAAGCATCCATCCGTACTCATAGAATTTCCGCCTGATATCTTAATAAGTTATCCATCATGTATAAGCAACATTAAGCAAAGAACCTGTGGCTGAAGAAGGCCTCTTGCCTCTTCTCAGTTCTCTTTCGTCTTTTCGGGTGTACCATGTGCGACATCCAAAAACGAACCTCTTGTTCCGGCCCCTATGGGACCCCAAAGGACTCCCAAAGCCGGGCAACAGCATGGTCTCCAAGAGCAAGGTAGCGAAGGAGCAGCCCGCCCCCGCAATGACCTAGAGCGCGCGCGAACCCAGTGCACGAAGAAAACACGCGTCCGAACGTGGTCGCATGTTCTCTGTGTGTGTTTTGTTGTTTTTTTACAGCAAACATGCATGACACGGTCTGAATGTTCAGCTTGACAAGAAGGTTGGAGAGTGAAGGTCGGTGGATTGTTTTGTTCTTTTTTTTTTTTCACGGTGGTTTATGGGTTGTCATCTGAACATCAACGTCTTACACAATGATGGTCTCAAGATTCCTGAGCCATTCAGAGCGCTTGTCTGCCTTGGCGTTGAAGCTCTCAGGTGCTACAAAGGTCTCCACAAAGTAGTACCTGAAGCATGGAAACCACGTCTGCAAGTGAACATACCTGATCATCCCAACAAGCAAATTTGGTCGAGAAGACATACGTTCTCGCCGTGGCGCCCACATGCAAAACCGGACTGCAGCCTCTTGGCATTGAACCCCATTTGCAACAGCGGTCATTTGTTGATTTGTACTCCAAAGGAGACCATACTCCAAAGGGAACCATACTCCAAAGGGAACCATACTCTAAAGGAGACCATCTTGTTTTGGATGCAACTGAATTACAGCAGACCTAGCCCCCACTTTCCTTGCAGCATTCTAAAAGTGCTACTGGTGACAATACAATTAAGTGTGCAGGAAAAAGAACACTGCAAATAGCTGGAGATGCTATCTCAGGTTGTACGGGAGTTCTGTCTGCCATAGTAGACACAAATATAACTGTCTTGATTGAACATAAAGACTTTGGCTGGAAGATTGATGTTTTCTGAAAACATGTCACCCTCTCATTCATCGCAAAATTTGCAAAGTTTGACAAACATCGATTCGATCCTAGATTCGAGCGAGACAAAGGCTTCGTGTGTCTCCAGGCGTCTCACCGTGCTTTTTGAATTAGGATGGACATGGGCTTCCTCGCAGATCCCTTTCATCAGCCGTCTGCCATGGTCTGGAAAACTCTGGAAACAGCTGTGTATGTGGACCAAACAAAAAGAACAAGAATTGACGAAACACTGTGGTCCTCTGGAACTGGATGAATAGTTAACATACCGCATCATAGCTGCCTGTTCTGTCCATCTGTGGTCACCCGAGCAGAAAGGCACCAATGAAGGCGACGATGACCTCACGCCGTTGCGAGCAGATGTGTTGTGATGTTGCGTCTCACCGCGGCTGAGCTTGGTGCTTTTGGTGACTGTGCAAGCACCAAGGGGCTGAGGTTCTCCAGTCTTTTCATGCCAAGGGCGACGATGACCACATCGGTCACCCTTTTTTCGACGGATGGATTTGAGACTCATCATTAGATGCTAGTAGGAGCGGGAATTAACACGACTCCTGGGGGGGTTCAAGGGCTTTCAGTATAGTTTTCCTTTCTAAAACAGGGTTGGAGCAGTCCTTCACCCCTAGAAACACACCCAACTCATGAACAGCTGTCACTCACACCCCACACCTGGGTGCCAAAGTTTGTGGCGAAGCGAAGGCCTTGCTGATGCCTCAGTGCTGGCACACCAAACCTTTCACCTGTTGGGTGAAAGGAGGTGAGAACCTCCCCTCTGCGCAGGAGTAGACGTGTAGCGCATCATGTCTATGATCAGTACATCCGGGTTCTGAGACCCACGGGGAATCTGAACATAGACCAGACTGGAAGACTATATGTTCCTCTACAACTCACTAGTCTTCAGGTTCCATGTGGGTCTCTTCTGGAAGACAGTCGCGCCGTTTTCGAATTCATGAAGGGTCTGGGAATCCATCGGACGATGCAGGGTGAGTGACACTCTCCGATCATCTGCGTAGGACTGTCTGTGACACTCCCCGAAGCTTCATCGCACAGAGAGTCGGTATCTGGAGCGAAACGTATGAAACGAACTGATCAACATACAGAGCATGCTACAAGTATTTCTGGTTGAGCACGATAACGATGGTCTAACTGCTGTTACAAAGGATGTTGACCACGCTCCTTGAAACTCGTTACAGAAACTGGTTACAAATCATCTATCCGGAACGACGATGGTCAACATGCTCTGGGGTGTTGGATACAATCTGCGCGGTTGGCTTCATCCCCCTGCCATCAGATGGAGCGTTGACCTGGTTGAAAATGGTGGAGGCTCTGATGGTGCCATTCCACTGATGGATTGATTTATGGTTCATGATTGTCTGCTTTATAATCGATCAACAAACCACCTGAAGCCCTTTCTCAAGTCTCTGCAAAAAAGATGTGGCTCTTTGCAAAATCAATCCGCACAGTGTTATACTTATCACGCTAGTGTCAGTGCTGGTAGCAAGTAATAGCCCAAATTTCAATATCCTTGATTGACAGTGGCCAAAACCTCCCAAACGGCCAGTGCCCAGTGACGGCAATGGCTGTGTCTTCGTGCGCCCAGTCAACGGGGCGACCTCGGTGAACTACTGCTGTCGAAGTTGTAGGAAGAAGTCCAAGAAAACCCTCAAACCACCTCAACACAGCTAAACAATAATGTGTACCTTGTTGCAGGTGGTGCAGGATTATTGGATCAACAGTATCACAAACATGCCCAAACTAGACCACAGCAAGATCTGCATAATATAAGCCAAGTTGCACCGTCCACCATGCGCTGATAGGCGCGTTCCTGGCACTTGCCGGGCTCTTTACATCCTTTACGATCCCAATGACTCGACAAATAGAACTTATAATGGAACCGCGCTGGAGTGTTGCTCATGGTAACGTATGCTTAATTCATGAAGCATATAAAACCAACTTTGAAACTATCCAAACTCCTAGAAATTCCAACCGCGCATTGTAGCAGTAGCCTGGGAAGCCCTCGGCGTCTTTGAGACACCAGCGCGCTCTGCCGCGGCGAACTCCGCACGTATCGTTCGCATTTTTTGCGTCCGCCCCTTTCGTTTGGCGGGTGCCCACAACCACATACTGGCCGGGTCCATCAGGCAAGAGTCGGAGGCACGCAGGGCTCGCTGGCAGGAGGGCTGTGCCATTGAACTCGGAACCAAATGGCTTGACGTCCACATGCGATTCTGTCCTGTTCAAATCACCTGCCAAATAGTAAATCACATACTTGGGCACTTCCAGGCTTCAATGGATTCAGTCAGCTGAACCAATCACAGCACTTTGGCTTCCACAATTTCACTCAGCTCTGGAAAGGCCTTATCCAAATACCTCAGCGAAGCAGGCGGCTTTGTGGAGGGTTCTGCATGTGTTTGCTTAATGGGCAAAGAAACATCGATTGGACGATGAGCTTGACCCAAACCTTGAATACATGACATACTCAAAAATGACATACACAGGAGGTAGGCCCCTCACTACCTACCGACAAAACACACACCAGACTTGAGCACACAAAAGCCCAGTGTTTTCAAGTACCTTACACAGCTTCAATTACAGTAACCATGCGAACAATGATCAATATTTAAGCTGTTCAGACTTCCACACATTGCGTCAGCAGGGTGGACATATATATATATATATATGCTGTTAAACATACTCGTACTACTAAAAAATTACGGGTCATAGAATAACTTATCATGGAGACCTCTGACCCTACTTAGGGAGATGGCAACAACTTCCTCAAATCCACCAGACATCTTAAGCAGGAAAACCTTCAGAACCCCCCGGACCGCCGCCCGAACCATCCACCTCCTTCAAACCCGTCGTCATACGTCTGAGTGGCGCATTGCCCTGCTCCTTCAGCGTGGGCTGGTCGGGCCCCTTCCCTGAGGGGACCACCAGTTCGTCAATGACCTGCAGATGGTCAAGCCACCAGGATGGGGACTGCCCCACCCAGGTAGCTCGTTCTCCCAGGTGGGTCTCCTTGGTGGTTTGGACCCCCACACCCACATCATCCACAAACACATGGTGCATCATGGACTCAGACTTCAAAGCATCTTCAGGGCACGGCTCAAGCAACAATGTGTTCAGTTAGTCATGATGGAACATGTAAGTTATGGGTGAGTCCACTTGCCACTTGCTAGGTAGCAGCTTTCCCCCAAAAAGACATCCAACAAATTGTCAATTGCTATGTGAAGATGTTTGATTCAAGAATCAAGATAACCACCAAGTCAAAGCTAACCAACCAAAGCAACCAAAGAACCAACCGCAACAAAGACGACGGAGACGAGGCTTCCTGAAACTTCCCTGGAGAGGAGAATAACTTGATAATTATTAATCAGTAAATCCAACCAACCAAAGGCCAAAGCCAGCCAACGGTTTTGGGTTCCCCCACGCTGCCATGGAAGGTATAACATCGGCTTCGTGTCGCGCGTCGCGCTCGAGAGAACGCCTCCAGACCCTCCTTGACGACTGCGATGGGTGAAAAGCCCTGCCACGGTTTTGGCAGTGATGGAAGTGCTACATGTCCCAAGTGCATTTGGTTCTTTGTTTTATCTATTTAAAACAACAATGGATAATGCCTGACCAATGTGATTGTCTTCCATCTTCGCCACCTGATTCTTTAAACGCCCTCCACTTACGACCACTTACAAGTACTTACATCACTTAAACTGTCACATGTCATTCCTTGCAAACAGAACTCTTATAATTAGGGCACTCTCCCCAGGTTTGTCCACAGAAACGCCCTCAACAACGAGGGCAAACGACCAAAAACCACGACGTCGTCACGACGCGTTGACTCGGCGACTCGGCGGCGCCTGCGCGTCCAAATCGCGATTGTCCTGTCGCAGTTGACTCGACCCCCGGCGACTTGGTGGACCCGGCGACGCGGTGGACGCGACGTCGGAAAAAAAAAAAAAAAACAAATTGGGGCGTTTTGGTTGGACGTTTTGAATGGGAAGACAGAAGTACATGATGGTCATTCATAATTAGACGTGCATGGTGGGATGTATACTCAAACTTTAAACATGATTTACCTTGGGACTAGCATGTATATACTCCATCAGATTCCGAGTACCACCTCTAAGTCTTGCAGGGCTATCAATGCATTTGCATCTACGCAAAGCAGCATCAGTGATGAAAGGCGGGTCCACTGCCATCCGTGGTCCTTGTAGTTGAAGAAGATCTGACAACTTCTGGTATCAGGACCCCTGCGGCAAGCTGAGTCGAAACGAAACACAGAGCACCAAGGTGACTTAACTCACAACTTTAGATAAGGACCTACGGTATCCTACGTTCCAATGGATAAGGTATTCAGTTGAGGGCGCAGGTGACGACATTCTTGTGTAAGTTATCATTTGGCTCAAACCACCTGATGGTAGTGGATCAGCCACATCACCAGTTGGTGGGCCATTTCAACCACTACCATCAGGTGGTAACCATCAGATTGGCCAAGAGCATTAGATCTTCAGTTGAGCCCAAATACAGACTTTTGATTCATAAACACCCCCCGCCCCCCCCGCCACCTTGGATTGAACAAGCTCTTCATATCGGGGGTTGAAATATCATCAAGAGTCTACATTAAATGGCAAAAAGAGCCACCAAACAGCTCGCCTTCCGCGGAAACCAACAAATCAACTTCCTCCCAAACAGCTCCGCTGCTCACCATGGCGACCCGCCAACACCGCCGCCAACACCGTGGCTTCTTCGCCTCATGGCGAAGCTGACCGTTCCGCGCTTGTTGCTCTCCTCACGCGGCGGGTGTTTCGAACATCAACAAGATTCAACAAGCATCATGTTGAAAGGAATCCTGTGGAGAAACATTCCGAAACCAACCAGGAATAGTTTCTATAGGATCGATAGGCTTTCACAATTGTTTGTGTTTTGGTTTGTGTGTTGTTGCCACCTTTCTGTATTGTGTTGCGGACTGGGCTCATTTCCACGAACATGCTTCAGTGTGAGAAGCAGAAATAGTGAGTTCATTTGTTTCAGCCGGGTCCCGTTTTCCAGTGCTGATTCATATGTGGAAACATCATCTCAAAACAAGGTCCGTTCGGCTCCTTCACAGCATCGTCCTTGATGGGGCTGTTCCCCCACTTGGCATAGACCTTACGGCCAGTTCCAAAGCTGGACTGAGGTTCCAACATGAAGAACATCCTCGAGTAACCGGGTAGATGCGGATGCTCCAAACGTGCATTCCCGGAGCACTGGAGGACTCATAGTTGGCAATTGAGTCCTTTCACAGCTTCAGTGACCATCCAATCCATGTAATATTACTTATGCATATGTTGGGTGACAATTTGAAAACATTTTGACCATGGCAACAGGAGGACTACAGTTATGTAAGTTATAAACATTTAGAAAACATCACAGGGACACCAAAGAATTCTTGTTTGGATCACGTCCGAAACGGCACTCGGAACCGCCCTCATCTCTTCCATCCAAGCCGCAGCTGGGTCCGCAGCAATGCCCACCTGGAGAACGAGGGAACGAGGTCAAGTCAACGGCCGCAAAAAACAATAACCTTGTGCACCTTTGTGCTGAGGATATAAAACATTGGCTAGAATGCTGAACATCACATCTGAGACATCACCATTCGTTTCAACCGGAATCAACCATACGGTTGTAAAACCGGTGCAAAACGTTTGTCTTCGAAGAAAAAAAGACTGTCCCGGTTGTTGTAAACCTCACAACAACAACAACAACAACAACAACAACAACAACAACAACAGCAACAGCAACAGCAACAGCAACAGCACCAGCACCAGCACCAGCACCAGCACCAGCAGCAGCAGCAGCAGCAGCAACAACAACAACAACAACAACCAACAAAAGCTATATCATCCAAACTGTTCGCCGTCTCTCCAATGTGAAAAGGCTACTTGCATATTAAAAAAAAACAAAACAAACAATCAGAAGATTTCAGGAATCTCTCCAGGTCTTGGTGCATGGCTCCAGCATGCCTGCGCGATGAAGTCCGGGATCACACGATGGAAGCGTGCATTGCTATAGAAACCCGACCTGGGTGCGAGCATCGGAGGAGTGGGGCTCCAAGAAGTAGTTGGACACAGGGGTATCAGCGGTGTCAGTTGTTTTGCTGTTTTGCAGTTCGGAACACACCGTTCACTTCATTCAACTTCCCACATGTCTTGAAGTCAAAGGAGAACCTCTTCGTCACCCTCCAATGCCTGAGATGAACTCATGGATCCACGTCAGGAACCTCATGGAAGTAGGTATAGGTCCACCAGTCCAAGTCACCCTTCTCCTAAAGTACAGCTTGACCTCCCAACTCTTCCTATATGTCCCTTCTGGCCACCCAACATCCGAGGAAAAAACACGCTATAATATGCTATAGAGAGGTCAGCGACCACCAGTTTCCTTACTTTCTGCCTCCTTCGTTCGACCGGTCGAGCGTTCTAATTATATATCCTCGTCATCTGCTCACGAGCGCTCTGCTCAGCCAGCGGCTCAACGAGCTGCTTGAAGCGCTCAACACCCACCGGTGCCCACTCAGGGTGCATCTCCAACACCACGGGCCTGGCACGAAAAATGCCTCACCTGTGGAATAGGGGGGTCTTGTGGTGGGGGAGATCACCACTTGTGTTTGGGGACTTGTTGAGGAGTCCATCTTTTCTCTTGCTATGTGCATTTTGTCTGTTGAATTTCACGGGGGGCACTCGTTTCGCCCTTGACCTTCACAGCAAAACCGGCCGAAACCGACCGTCGTCCTGACCTTCACGAACGTCAAGACCATGACCGTTTCGCGCCTGGGGGGTTGTCCTGGCTTCACTCTGACCTGACACGGACCGGGAGGGATGGCTTATGGCAGCATGAGCCATAGGAAAACCAGGTGGCACGCATGTTGGTCCGAGTCATTGAATGACAATTATCCAAGTATATAGACTCTAAGACGGACGGGCACTGAGAACTTGGAACACGAACTGGAAGTATCTGGAAGTAACCGTGGCTTCACATTTGTATATACATCCCTCAGCCAAAGGGGCCCAAAAAAGGGAAAACGCGTCCCTGCTCACCAGCCCCGCCATGCCCCCATGGCTTCTCCGGTGCTGCGAGGTCACCTGTAGCTCCACTTCAAAGACCATCCTTCCGGGGTGTCGTCCTTCACGCTCACGCCGTCGTCACTCGGCCTGGCGGACGGTCCGAAATGGACGGACGAGAGACCGTGCGGAGGAAAGGCGGAGGACCGGTGAAGCCGCTGTTGCCTTGGGAGAGCGCTGGGAGAGCGCTGAGTAGACTGCGAGGTATTCTTAGAGCTGTAGAAGACATATTCCCCAAAGACTTCTACTTTTTCAAAGCCCCTGTTTAGTGGAAAGATTGATTTCGTTCCCAAGAGCCAGTCAAAAGACACCAATGTCTCAAGAAGTCTTCAAGTTCTTTCTGCCATGTTGGGTGACTGGCCAAGTAGAGGAGCAACCAATGCAGGTGCCTTGGTCCTTTGGCAAACACAAAAAACACAACGCCAAATCGATGCCAACAACATCCAACAACGCAAGCAGGCCGCAAGCACTGCTCATCTGCGCATTTGTCACTCATGGACTGTAAAACCGCAAGTATCCGAGCAAGGCAAGATGTCTCCACCACTGGTCCACCGGTGACATCACTCTCGCTCGTAGGATCACTCTCTGACATCGCCTGAGAAACCGCACGCCGGATCGCTGACAAGCGTCTTTGGGCCGATATTCAGCTGCAGAGATCCGCGGTATTTGCCGCGGGCGGTGGCTTTGTCACGTGCCAGGTGGGGCTCAAAGTGATGGGAACGAGGCTTCCTATCAATGTATTTTGTAGAGGTCAAGCCAACTTTTTGGGACCCCAACTCAGCTTCCTAAAGATATAAGAGACCACCAAGTGGTCAGTGGTAGGAGCCCGTTTGGACGGAATGCTGCCTGTTCGGTCTCCGATCCTAAAAGCACCTTCCTAAGCAAGCAGAACATGCCCATAACTACTTGGATTTGCTCTCCAGCAAGCCGGGAAAACATCAAGAAGATTCCCCAGTCTCCAGTTCAGGCAGATGTTTTATTCATAGGGAAAATAGAAACCTGATCTGCAAAACCGGGCATACTGGTGGTGTGGATGTCATTGATGGCCCTCAGGACTGTAGGTTAGTGAACAATGCTGTAAAAGAACTGTTCTATCCTAGAGAGTTGGCGTTTTCAGGCTGTGATACGATTTGTGCGATCCACTAGCAAACCCGCCAAACAACTCAATCTATCACCCAAATGACTTTTCATCACCACCCCCCTTGGATTACCTATATCGGCAGGTAAACCTTTGGGGGCATGGTTACACCTCTCATTTGGCCAAAACCATAAACCCACACAAGCTTGTAGCTGCTTCTAGCTATACAACGTCAAGTCTAAATGCCGGAGCCTGTGAGGCAGCTCTCATCTGCTGCAACTCGCTGAGTGGCTCTCCGTCCTGCAAGGTGATGTTACAAGGTCGAGAGAAAAACGGACCAACCAGGAGGATAGGGGTGCCCATGATCCACGCACTGGATGGGACTAAAAAGCACCCCATTGTCCCATTATGACTCCTGGAAGATTATATTAAAGGTGTTTATGTATTGTCATGTATTTTCACAATGAGGCTACATCTGCATACGTGATTATACTTGGAGTAGCGCGTGTTTACAAATGGATGCATGACTTCCTACAATTAAAGTGACCACACTGGAGTGTATTTGAATGGCTCTCTCTCTCTCTCTCGATTGCTGTTGTTTTCAGGCTCTCCCTCTGTATGTTCTTAAAGTGGTATCATCATATATAACATCTACTTCCTGTGAATCAATGCTACCAGCAACTTGTTGTTGGCCCTTGTGATTCCTCATGTTGCGTGGGTTACCTCAGGTGTTTTTCTTCTCCAACAGTCATCAATCGGTGATCTCATGATGACAAACATTCATGGGACATGCACAACAATCTGCGCATCATCCAGTACCAATCTCATTTCAAACCATCATCGAATCTATCAGCATCTCGCACTTCACCCAAGGTCAAAGGAAAACAACAAATCCTAACCGTTCAAAAGAACCGTGGCTGCTCTTTATCTCCCGGCGATCCAGTGATCCAGCCGTGCCCGGCTGTGCCCATGTGGGCCATGAAAGAGTGGCCCATGGGTGGAAGAGAAGTGAAGACATCCCCCCCAAAGACTTGAAGTGAAGACCTGCAAGACTTGAACTGAAGTTTTCCAAGACATCCCCCGTCACTTCACTTGAAGTTGATCATCTTGCAAGTCTTGTATTCTATGTCCATCCAAGACGGGTTGGTGCTTTCAACCCACCTACGAACAATCAGCTAGCTCAGTGGGTTAAAACCATCCTAAGCAAAAGTTTAACATAAAAATACTTGAAACCACCACCCACAAGAGCTGAGCTTGCCTCGTTCAGGACAGGTGCCTCGTTCGCGCCGAGATCTGCGAAGAAGCACTCTGCTGATGTATTTGCTGCTTTGCTTGGTACAGGACTTGGTACAGGATGTACAGTAACAACCCCATCTGCTTGATCAAATTCCAAGTCTGAGTGGATCCTAGATACTGCTCCAAAGGAAAGTAGTTGCAAATAGTGGCAGTATTGACTCCCAAATTGCAGACAACCATACCTGTTTCAAGTTAAGGTCTTTTGATCGTTTCCTTCAAGCAGGATAGGCTCGGGGTTTCAGAACGAGGGTGGTTTTTTATTGTTCACATGCATCACCCTGGTTTGGTCAGCATGAGAAACCCCGAAGGAACTTGGAGCCTTCCTACCAACAGCAGGAAGTCTCTGTGGACCCCACGTCAACATGTACCGCCAAATCAAACATGCCGCCAGCGGAGACTCAAACGCTCCCCCGGGCTCCGCGCGCGCCCTTTTTTGGACATCAACAATATATGAATATATGTTACAGTATTCACCCACTCCTATCAACTCACCCCCTTCCACCAACCAAAAGCTGCCGCCACTGCCGCCTCAAGCCGGTCCACGACCTCGCAGCCGCTGAGGAGTTCGTGCATCTTCACGGGCTCCTGAAAAATGTGAACGTTCAGTTCATTTTTCTTTAAGGAGACCTCTCAGTTCCAATCCTGGAAGGTTCGGGAAAAATAAACCGATCTACCATATAGTCTACTAGGGGGTCTCCCTATTGAAATTTATTGAAATACACACGGCAGCGTTCTCACGGTAGCTCCCCCTAGCTCGTCGAAGCTCACCCGCGTGGCTGGTCGTGAGCAACCAGTCGACCGAGCTTCTGGGGAGGTGCATCGCCAACCCATTTGGGTATCCCTAGGGCTCCAGTCGTACCTCCTCAGAAGGTATGACTGGACCCTCTAAACCCACCCCAAACACCTTCTTAGAAGGTACTTGGAGCCCTAGGGTATCCACTGGGCATTGATCAAATTCCCAACCTCTGGGGCTGGGAGTGCTGCAAAGAGTTGGTTGGAAGTACGCTGCGCAACTACGATCTTTGTAGCCTCACTCCCCTTCTACCGTGCTCAGTATACTACAGTAAAAACAAAAAACACCTGTATAGGGGCTCGTTTCATAATGGATAGCAAGGACTACTATACTGTGCTATACTCCAAGTTTGTGTATTAATTGTATTTGCTATATGTTGTTGATCAAGAACAAATCATGTAATCCTGCGAACATCCAAGTCACCGCAAACCATCCCTAAACTAGCAATCACTGGGGTGACACCCTTTACATCCCTTGAACAAAATGTTCCCCAACACGAGCTCCCCGTCCTTGGTGAGCTTTTGGTGCTCCTCGGCGAGCCTCACGTTCGCAGCACACTGCGGGGGTTCCCTGCAGCTGCTGAGTTGATCCCCAGTACATCCCAATCTTCTGGTGGTGTGCCTCGTCCTGAGCTTTTCATAGGAAAGCCAAGACCAAACACATGGTTTTTCACTCTGGCAACAAGCTCTTCTAATATATATATATATATATCTATATACAGTATAATGATCCACGATCTCTACAAAGCTCACAGATCCAGCGATCCTCCGCACCGCGCGACCGCACGCGCCCGCGGCCTGTACAGCTCGTCCAGATCGGCCGCCGTCTGTTCCGACAGCTCTCGAGCTCCATCGACCGTGCCTTAAGACAACGGCGCAACGACCTCGAGACGTCATATCCTGAGCTCAACTACCCCTAGGGATCCGTTTTCCTACCGAACCGACCCGGTTCGCTACGACTGCAGTCTGCACCCGACGTGCGGGCCTGGCACCGTCTCATGTCTCGGTTGTGTGTGGAACACATCACCGTACCTGAGGTTCGGTACGACTGGATCCCTAGGGTACCAACCCATAAAAGTCTATAGGGCACTTGGTGAAGAGCTTCACATGGCAGCATGTAGGAAATGCACCATAAAATCGCCTGGTCAGTTGGACCAGTGACGACATCATAATCATGTGGAGATCTCTCCACATCTGCTCAATCTTGGCCGGAGGGACACTGACTTGGATATCTGACTCATTAATCTCACATCCAGCACTTGTCTATAAATATCCGCAAACCGGATTTAGTGGCACCGTGCACCTGCAAAAACCGCTACAAGAATCTGTGTAGGAAATTGGTCTCGGCTCTGCACAACTTGAGGTGCACTGAGATTCTGAGCTCCTCTTGGAAGATCTGGGGGGGCAATGGGTCCAGCACGTCTAAGCTGCTTCTGCTTGACCATCAGGTGAACCTCCAGGTGCTCGGCCATTCATATTGTTTGCTACATGAGCCATAGGCGGCGCTTGCCCTGACCAAATCCACCAAATCCACCCGGAACTGCCCTTGGTTTGCACAAGGCAAGTCTTCCAAAAGCCCGCACTTCGGGCGAGTGACCATGGAGAACCAAACTAGGTCCCCTGCGGCCGCACGTCGAGAGCGACACTGCAGCCCAAGATGCTCTCCGACAAAAACTTCTGGAGCGCAGGTGGGATGGATCTGGCAGTCTCGAACATGCAGTCAAAAGCAACAGGGTCAGGGCGTCGTGGGTGAGCAACATGGGTATCTCTTCGTGTGTTGTTTTAAGTGATAAACATAAGACATAATATTGACATAAGATATACTATATATCTTGTGGATTATTGTGGTACTTGTTACTTTTGTAAATGGGCTCTTCATATTGAAAGTGTTGGTTTCGTTTAGATGAAGATGATCACACGGACAACACAAATACGAAGCCGGAGGAGAGTGGACAAATGATTTTCCGCATGTGAGTGTCCGCGTTTGGTTTCAGAGAATCAACAAGCAATAATCATTATATAAAATTATATATTACTATGTTCCTATCCCAAAGCTATCCATTTCAAACATTGAGAGGGCTACATACTTGAATTGTGGGAAGTAGTGATGAAGCACTCTACCCCCCAAAAGTACAAGGTCCAGGTGGATTTCTTGTGGTCTAGTCGCTCATGGTATTAGCTCGTGTATAAGGTCCAGTTGCAGTTGGTGACCGATCCATCGAAAATCCGACCGAGACGTGTCCATCAGAGCTTGCTCTTGTCATTGTACAAATGGGCCGGCGGAGCACAAAAACTTGGCTGGGCATGACGAAGGCAGTTGAGACCTGTTGTGCTCTCAGACCTGCTCGGTCTGTGTTAGACCTGGCACTTGTCTAGGTCACAGTAGTGCAAGTGGACGTGGATGTGTAACGAAAACCAAGCAACAGAAACACCTCCAGCCGTCCTTGTGAAGCGACTGTTAGACAGGACATATCACCCTCAAATCAAAGAAAACTCAACTCACTTATATATATATAGTTTTTCTTTAGGATCTTTAGGCTGCACATCTGCAAACAAACAAGGAGATACAAAGTCTTGATGAACTGCTGTTCGCTTGATGCGTGTGGTGGTGAACGTAGCCAGGATTGTTGTGCTGATGGTTGAACTTGATCATCTGTTTCCAAGCGAGTTGAGCCAAAAACTGTAGGAAGCATCACCCACAAATGCAACACATCATAGGATTTCATGGACACCATATTTACATGCAAATGATTTGTTAATCCTTGATAGTTCCTCGATGACATCCTGAAGTTAGATAGGATGTTGAGCAGTTAAAAGAACCTTGTTTTCCTACAGATGTTGGGTGGGATTGTTTCATGTTCAATCCTCGCGAAGAGCACTACAAATCCTTCAAACTAGGTGGGCAACCAGAAAGTGTCAACCTTCCTTAAATGTATGCAATTTGTTTCTGAAAGCCAAGCTATTCAGTTGTCGGCCATGGTAACGCCATTGAGTTTCCTGCTCAAGTTCCAAAGGTTGTACGTTGGTCTAATACAACGATTCAATAGCGTCAGCCGCACTTTCTCGACGGAAACGGAGTAGGGCGCGCAAACACAAGAGGTATAGTGCCCTGCTTGTGACGGCGCGGAAAACACAACTTGGCCTCAGGCATGAAGTGTTCGACTAGAGGTAGATGGCAAGCAATGAACAACAATAAGGCAGTTGACACAGTGTGAAGCAGTGTAAAATCAAGTTTATCATTATAATCTACGATATTTCTACTCCAACTGCAATTTGTAGAGGATCTGTGCAGGGAAAACCAGGGAAGAGATCTTTTACATCGCCAACAGAAATCCCAAAGGTCAAAAGGGTGGTGAGGGCGATGTATTGCTCAAGCCTCCAGAAAAGCAGTACACGCCCTGAAATAATCATGGAAGTGGATTCTCCCTGGTTTGTATTCGGATGTATTCGGAAAATGTTAATTCAAGGGGAAGTGCCATCCACTTCCTTGATTCTTTCAGGGAGTGTAGCTCGCCTGCTTCAATAAAAAGATTGGGTAAACCCTCGGCAAAAGCATCTTCTGCAATGAAGTAAGTGACGGATTTTGTCCAAAAGAGCATGGCTGCCTTCCTCGAACGTTGACCACTGTATGTTGGTTTTATTTCATGCTACCACAAACCACTGAAGCTCCCCACAAGACCACGGCATCTGCGCAGGACCGCGGACAAGGTATCTGCGCGGGAAGGTTTTTTGTACAACGGCTGCTTCACCAGCACGCTGGGCACAGGATCTTGGATGTAGACTTTGGGATATCTCAATTGAGTAAGAGCTGATAGTGAAGGTTGGAATTGGGGGTTCTACTCAAATCAATCCCTGTAAACTCACTGTAAACTAAACTAAACATGCTTTTTGGACTGTGGCTGGATGCGGGGATACCCTAACGCTCCCCAGTTGACTGAGATGAAACAACCTCCAGTGAAACACACACACACACACACAAATCACTTGAAACATAAACACCAAACGTAGTCCGTGGAGGAAAACGGTCGAAAACGGTCTTCCTCTTCACATTCCATGTAATCTTTCTTTGGCCCTGGTTGACCACCGAAAGTGAACAGAATAGACTACCAGGGAGGTCACCAGTGTTTGGAGCTTCGGCCTTTCGACCCACGGCCACTTAAAACCGTAAGGCCTTTAAACAGAAAATGCCTCGTCCATCGCCAAGCAATGTGCATTCAGCTGCTAGTCAAGTGGAAATACACACTATCAAATTGTAACCAATCAAATGAGAGTATCTAAGAGCTTTTACATTGCCTCAAGCTAGCAGTATCACCAGGGTGGGGGGTATCATCTGTGCTTCTCCCCTACTTGCTGATATTTGGAACGTGCTGGGCCACCAAGTACAGTACAATTGGTATCCCTGTGACATGCATTCTGCTGGTGATGCAGCCTCTGCCTGTGGCCTAGGCTGCGTGCCTTCAAACCGACCACAGACTCAGGCGACGGTTGGTACAAAGATGTATAATTCTAGAAATATGTTTCTATATACTATATTTGTATACTTTAGATATCTTTACATGTACTGTATATTCTTGGATGTTATGTACCATTTTACAGTTTCAAAATACTATGGATTCCATGTTTTACTCGTTGCAAAGTGCAAAGATCGCCATGATTCGCCAGTCGCCACAAATGTGACCGGCCATCTCCAACCTGGCGCAGTCCACACAGCTGGAACGAGGGTCGGGTTTAGCGAGATGATCATGGATGAGTCGGCAGCAAAGGTGGCACTCTGTGCAAGCAATAACCTGTACATGGGTGGGACATGATGATCTGCATGGGTACATGACACTGGTCATGGGTGGGACATGCAGGGTCCGTGGCACTCTGTACAAACAAAGATGGTCATGACTATGGGTGGGACATGATGATCTGCATGGACCTACGCAGCAGAAACATGGGTGGCATGGACCCTGCATCGTAACTAGCACAATGATCTGTGCTGCACCCTGTATAGCACGACACATGTGGGGTCCATCCTGTGTGGCACTCGTTTCTTAGGGAACTTCCAACCGGTCACACCAATCGTTCTCCCTCCACGGCCCACCCGCCCAGCGGAGCACCTCGCCGCCTGCCGAGCTCCTCCGGCGGTCTCTCAGCCGCCGCGCCGTGGCCGTCTCAGCTGAGCACGTCCACCGGCTGCGCTTTCTCGGCCGCTTGCTCCGTGGTCCTGCGAAGGGAATGACGTGAGGCGAGCGAAGCGACCCAGTGGATCCCAAGGACGTCTGTGGTGTGGTGAAAAGCAGGACCTGAAAGGTCCAGCCCTAAGAATCATTGGACCCTCCGAACTGGAGGGTCCAATGACCCTGCAGAACGCAGGGGTTGGACCCTCAAGACCTTAACTTTTGAGGGTCCTTGATTCTTAGAGAAGTAAAAAAACAAAATAATAGAGATATCAAGAGACTGTCGTTTCTTTCTTGATCTCTTTTAGATGTGTTTTTTTTGGATCAGACTTTGGCATCCATGTCGTCGTATATACACCTAACGACGTAGATGTGGGAATCTTGTAAATCATATCATGTGGTGGATTGGCTACGTTGAGGGTCTCTTTCTCAGGTGAATCCACAGAAGCAATGTAGGGTGGTGTGAATTCCGCAGCTTGACACGAGCTACACAGCTTTGAAAGCGCCCAATATTGAACAAACACATCACATGGGAGCCACATGAGTCGATCCAATCCTCTGTTCCATGGAGGAGACATGTCTTGAGATGTCTTGAGACGAAAATCAACCTCTTTAGGATCTCTGCCACTCTCGAAAACCCCCAAAAACTGGACCCCGCGCCCGCGGCTCCCCGCGCCGCAGCTCCCCTCCACCGGTCCAAACGGCCGCGGTGTCATCGGTCAAATCGCAGGTCTCGATGGTCCCATCGGGATCTCGGTGGAGATGGTCACCACGGTCACCGAGGGCGTGAAGAAGATCGGTTTGTTCTCACTTGACGATCTGAAATGACTAGCAGCTTGACCAGCCGTAAATAGCCCATGTCATCGTTAACAGGCCTAACATCTTGCATGCTACATCTTGCAAGATGTGGCCGTGGGTCATGCCACCCGGGACACTCTGGGAGGTCCACCTAGCACGGATTTGGGGGGGTTTTGTTCTGTGATAGGACCTGCTCTAGGAATGCTGGGCTGACCATGGTGCCATCTTCTCTATCCAATTCGGAAGGCCCAGGTCCAGGGGTTCCCGTGGAGTCGTTGCTTCCCCCAAACCGTCCAAAGCGCATAGCTCCGCAGTGGCTCCGCGTGGCTCCGCGCGGTGCAAAGGAGGATCTCTTCGGAGTGTGGGCTGCCCCCAAACTTCCCTGGTGCATGGGTTTCTTCAATGGGACGAATCCGCCCAAACCTGCCAGGTGCTGGGCTGATCTTGGGTTTTTCCTCATCTTCCTCTTCCTGGCCGATTCACACAAACAGCATGAAGATTCACATGAATGATGTTGTGCAGGTCCAATGATGACCATCATGTAATTCCATAGGTACGCGGCGTATATACTTCACTTAATTTCACCTTTGTTACAGTCTCTGGTGGTGTTTCGGAACAGGGAACAGGAGCCACTGAGAAATGTGGCAAAGCGGATGAAAATGGAACTCCAACCCCACCTGAGCAACTTCAAAACACACAAATTACACCTGTTCAAAATTGAAAAGCAAGAGGGAGAAAGAGTTGCTTGGCACAAAAATAAACACCACTGAATCGAGTGCAATGTGCATTTCCACTGCTCGCTGTACACAGCAATCAATCAGTAATCATTTTGGAGGATTGTTGCACTCTGAACAACTCTAGGAACTTTCGTAATTGGCAATTATTTGGTGGGTAAGTGTCTTTGTTAGCCAATGACCAACGTGCACGCAACCTTTGAATTCCACTTTGCATGAGTTTAGACAAATCAACGGTGACTTGTCTTTCCGATTCAAGCTGACCCATCATCTGTATTCATCTGTGGCATGCCGACAGAAAGTATACAAATGTTGAGATTCGGAATTCAACAAGAGATTGCCCTGAAAATTTGGACATCTCTCTATACTTACTCTGAACCCCCGCAGCCAATGTCGCAAGTTGCAGGAAGACTTGTGCACAAATGCTCCTTCTTCTCGTACTTCACCACGGAGTCGTCCTGAAGACGAACATGTTCCGAGATCGGAGACAGATCGAGAGAGCCATCGACGGTCAGAGGTCAGACATCCGAAATATCGTTTTCTGAGATCGAGATAGCCAAGCTATCGGTCAGACAGCCAACCTGAGTCGCTTGAGCATCTCTGTGTAGCTTCTCAGAAGCTTCTCAGAAGCACTGGCTGGTTGATAGGTTCCCGACTCCCCGCAGAACCCAAAAATGATTGGCAACCAAGGTTGGCTA